CTTGAGACCAGTAGCTATTTTCCAAAAGAACTCTCCCTTAAAGATACCCAAAAAGAAGTGGCAACCCGGCTAGTTTGATTTCTGTTTCCTTTAGAGCACATACATCACACTATGTGGTGTTTGACCTTTGGTGGCCAACCATTAATTGCATATGTGTCCAGCATAAACCAGTCCATCCACAGCAGTTTCTGTATAGTCTGGCATAATTTTTCTGCATTCTCCAAATTTTCTGGTCAGTAGCTACATCAGTATATCGACAACAAGATAAAACTATACATTTGTGATAAGAAATATAACCGAAGCAAGCAATTACTTATTGTGACGTCATCACATTGTTCGTTGGACTGCAATTTTTAATTTATTTAAAATATATGTTAGTAATGTCTTGTCACCGTACATCATACTTTCTCTTTAACAATAGATGACTGACAAGACAGTAACTAACTCCTTTCAGGGAAAATTTTTAAATCAAAATAATGTGACTTATGGTTTGTATATAGTTAATTTGAGCCTCCTGCCCCTAAGATTTCCATATCTTGTCTCATCTTTCATCCATTGAGCTCCATTCTGGAGATTAAGGAAAGATGGACAGTCGACAGTGGGAATTTATAGGTCTACAATTTTTTTAAGTTGTGCAAATTTCATATGAGTATATCAAAATGTTACAAAAAAACTTAAGATAAAATATCATGATATATAGATAACATGGTCACACCACTATGTTGTAAAATCCATAATATGCTACTTTCTGCCAGTATATGACATTTGATTGTATTTAGCCATTTTCTCTTACCAGTGCTTTATTAATAAAGGATTTGTAACTTTTTTTTTCAGAACAGCAAAAAGAATTAACTACAAAACTAAGGAAATTATTCTACAAAATAAAATTGAATTATTTCTACAATTAATGTCAGAACAAAAAGGTATTAAAAAATAAAAAAATGGCAAAAACTGAGTATTTTGTTTAAATAATAATAATATGCAATCAATGGTATGCTCCATTGATACAGATGTCAGTTAAGAACAAAACAGAAAAATATATATAATAATAATAATTTTTAACAACACAAAAATAATTCCAAAGGTATATTAATTAAATGGAACAGATGTAATATTTTATAATCAAGCTTAAATGAGACTACAAGGTGGAGACTAGGGTTTCTCATTTCCCGGTCTTTTGCTTGTCCCGGGATCCCGGGATAAAAGTGAACTGTTTCCCGGGATCCCGGGAAATCCCGGGATAAAATTAATTATTTTTAAGGTATACAAAATATCTTGAAATCAAATGATATAATTATTTTCCATTTTTTAAAGTAATTTTAAAGTTCTGTAACCTCCAAAATCATATTAATAATGCTGTGTTAGGTCTATAGGCCTATAATAAAAATTACCTTTAAATAACGTAGAAATTTTCACAAATAGAAAAAAATTAATTAAAGTTTGCTGGAAACTGCATACAACAACAACAAAAAAAAAATGTTTTGAGTTGAGTTAAAAATTAAAAAAAATGAACTTCTAATTTAGAAGGTAATTTTCGTTTTTTAAATAAAATATAATACAAAATATTGCAAACTTTTATAAGATTTTAAAAAGCAAAGATGGTCAATACTCCGATAACTCACTCTAATTCTTATTTTAGTAATGAAAAGTCTTGCCACCGAGAATGCCCTTTCCGATTCAATTGATGTGATTGGAATAGTGTTTAATGCATTTAAGAGAAGACAGATATTATGTGTTTTTTCACCTGTAGCCTGGAAGATTTCGAGTTCGTTTTCGAGGTTGTAATACTTCTTTTGCTCTCTAGTATTCTTCATTTGTCTACTTCGACTGCTTTAATAGAAACATCAAGCTTATAGCCCAATAATTCGTCAGTTAGTTTGTCTTTGATCATCAGGTTTATGAAGAAAAACTTTGTACTTACAGACATCGTACAACATGGTGTTACGTGTTATCGATGCTATTGGGCATGGTTAAAAATTAAGACAGCATAAGCACAATTATTCCAGATATTACAGGTTCCAACAAGTAAAGAATTTTGAGTCATGACACAAATAAGCTATGTATTGATTATTGACCATTTGTGACATGCTATAATGAGCAAAAACTTAAGAAACTAATAAGTAAGTTTAAAATTGATAAATACAAATGTATTCTGACAGTTTGAGTTAATTATGCTTTCTATTTGCAAAATTCTTCAACCTTAACACAAAATAAGAAAAAAGTGAATTTTTAAGAAATTTGCGGGATTTCCCGGGATAAGAAAAATTTCCCGGGTTAAAAAAACAACTGGAATCCCGTTTGAGAAACCCTAGTGGAGACACAGTGTTATTGCTGATTAAATCTTTCAGAATAATTTATAGGCAGTGAATGGTAGCAATGTGATGCTCCACACAGTTTCTGAATCCCTCCCTAAACAAACTTAAAAACATTTATTATAGAAAAGAATTTATTGAACAAAACGTGTCATGACAATATTAAACGAGGTAAGTCTCAAGGGAGAATCGAACACGTTGGAACTGTGGAGTTGAACTTTGTCTCTGATGCTTGTAGAATTGATAAAATTTGGGAAAATCGGAGAATAATATCAATAGATATGGATAAATATTTTGTGACTGCCAACTCTGTCTCTATATCCATCATACCCATATATGAATCTCTACCTCTCCCACCCCGATTTGGGTTCACAATTCGGCTACCCTTTTTTCAGGCTTATAACTGTACCAGCAGATGAACCAGGCAAAAAACAACAACATATATTATTAGATTATTTCATACTTCTAATCCTTCTATTCTAGTAGCCCGGGACATCCCCTAGTGGGCGTTCTAGCAGCAGCAGTGTCATTCCATGGTATAAATAATAAATTTTTATTACAGATAAAAATAATATACTGAATTTCTCATGGCATACCCTACTAAAATGCAGCCAAAAATCGCATCAAATAATATACTGAATTTTTTGTTAATTTAAATAATAGATAGGGTGGCCATTTTTGGCATACAGTGACAGAAAGAAAGAAAAAAAAAAAAGAATCTGGTTTTTTAGCTTTATATAGTATGATAGGCAGGGTCATTTTCATCTAGGATGAGAAAACCTTGCCTACACTGTTATAAGCCTGGAGAGACCTATACTGGGGTCGTTATCCTGGATAAAAATACCTCAAGTATAAGTCTTTCCTATTACAGTAATACCCCGCTTAATACAGGGATGCATTACTAGACAATAAAGCGCTAAGTGAAAGCATTAAAGAAGGTCATTTTAACATAGAGTAAATAGGGAAAGGGGAACACGCAACCAAAAATAAGCAAATTTTACTATAATTTTAAGTTATTTTTATATTAATTTGCACAATAATATATGTTAAATAACACAAACATATGCACACAGAAATGTAAAATTCATATTTTGTGATGAAGGCCCTAGCTTTTATGAAATTATTGTTTTTGCGATAAAGTTGTGTAGTTTCATTTGTCGCTTTTTTTTCTTAAGCAAATGTCAGTATAAGAAGATCACATCCAAAATGCCTTGTTTTGCTTTTGCACTTCTTTCAAAATCTGGATCATTTGGGTGAGATTAGCAGTGGGTCACTGGTTAATCCCCAAATGACCACTTACTCTGCCCAGGCTGGTAAAACCCGATCTCGGGGTCGTTGGATGGCTAGGAGGGCAAATCGAGTGGGGAGGGGGTCAGTAAGTCAGCAGGCGTCCTTAATTGACAGGAGACAGGTTCAACAAAATAACAAAGCATTTATTGAATAACCAAATCTAAACTACAAAAGGCGAACTTACTACTAAGGTTAAATGCAGTTATATTTAAATATTTACAGAATATGGCAAATACTTTCATAGCTATGACACTGACCTAATTTCTAGTTCGAGAGAGAGTGCTTTTACAAATTCTAACCCCTAAATTTCCTAAGAAGGGAGAGTTGGCGCACGTCGTCTGTATGGAAGGGTGTGGTGTCTTCTATCCGATGTTCTCTCTGTAGCTGGATCAGGTCTGCTGTATGGAGGTTTGGGAGTTGAGGGGTCACTATCACCAAGTATAACTTCCTATGACAAATTGCCCTGAGCTTCTGGAGATTCGAGCTTTTATATCATTCTCATAGGAAAACTGACACGATTGACTTTTGTTGACGATGACAGTGTACTTCACACCTAAGTGTAAACTTTCCCAGCTAGTTGTTATACAATCGGTGAAATCCGATCTAGTTCAAATTCTTCAGGTTTTTTCTGAAGATATTTACAATTAACAGAAAATTTAGATTTTAAGAGGCCCGTAAAAACCCGCAGTTCACATTTGTTACAATTTGATTGACGATTTTGGTTATTGTTACCAAACTTACTAAGGAAATCTATAGAGAAATTCTTTGGAGATTCTTAGTTTTCCAAATTACAATTTTCCAGTTCTACACGAATTCCTTGTTCTGCCAGTTCCTGAAGGTCATCATTGGTAAGGCTCTCACCAGAAACCTGCAGTAACTCTCAATATCCTGCTCATCTACATCTCTAGTCCTGCTGTATCGATTAGGTTGAAAATTTGGTCAACCTAATGATATAGCGATGGATCTTGTTGAGAATTCTTGGATACCTTCATCCATAACTTCTTCCGTGCATTTATTAGTTAATTCTTGCCAAGCAAAGTCGATATTTCCTATGGCATCCATAATGTTATATTTTCCAAAATTGCACAAAACAAACATAGATTTAAGGAAAGTACAGCACTATGACGAATTGCTACCTTTTGCCGATTGGTTTGCATTTGGGAATAATCATATTATATACAAATCAATGAAATGCCACGTTAATTTGAATCAGTGTTAAGTGGGGTATTACAAATTTTTGTTTTGATGGTGAAGTTTTTTAGTAGGTAACTTTTTACATGAGTAAGGCACATTATGAAATTTAATGGAAATAGATCGAGTGTTAAATCCCACTTTCCACAAGGAATCTCAACAACATTACCATTTATCATGTGCTTAAATATTTTCGAAAATCCTGTCATCAAAGTAAAGGTTGCTTATACTTGACTTTGTTGTTTAAAATTGATATTTTAATCACCTTTTTATACAGTGAAGCCTGACTTACAACCAGGTGCAAAACATCTGGTCATTATTCTCAACTTCAGCTAAAATAAAATATGAATTTACATTATTTGTAATTTTAGATGAATACAGATTACTATGATAGAAATATTATATTTATCTTAGTTAAATTACTGTGAAAAAAAATAGCAGAAAACCACACCAGGTAACAGATAAAATATTGTTCCCGTGTATGTATTACAAAAATTGGGCAAAATGTGGCATCTTGCCAATTTTTGTTAAATAAATAAATGAAGTGGTATGACCATGTTATCTATAGATTATGATAAAATATATAGTTTTGAAAAGAAGAATTTTAGGTCAAACGAGTGTATCATAAACTCTTGAAATGTATTATAATAATTGGCTTTACCAATATTTTAATGCCTATTGATTACATAAATATCCCACAATATTTTTTCTCCAAAGTTATTCTACTCAAAACAAAAGTATTTATAATTAATAATCATCAATTTTATGTGCAAAAATACAAAAAACTTATGTAAAAGCAATAAAACTTTATTGTAGAAAACGATTTTTAAAAGACAAAGACAGACCCTCATTCCACAGACTAACATAAACAGGTTGGGTGTTTATGAATTGGTCTTCGAAACTGTTAAAGTGACTTGTCAATGTATTCAATAGAGACATTCCTTTATTAATCAGGTGAATATTTTTGCTTCGTCCGCTTACGTAATCTTTAATGTATTTATTTAATATTTTCATTATTTCTTCAAACAACTGTTAAAAATATTTAATATTATGTATGGAACATTTAACCAATTTTCTTAATATGAATAAAAATGTTTACCTCTTGAAGACAGGGGCAATTATTTGTGTTGTCTGACAACGTCCCGTGAGAACTTATCATTCCAGAAATGAAATTCAGGATCTATAAAATAGAAAAACATTTGCTGCATAAATATAAATGATTTTGTTATTTAAGATTAATTCTACTATATAGGTAATTATACTAAGAGCTTTGCTTCACCCTGATGATTTGGGTTGCAATTTATATGTATGAGAAATTATTGTAATATTTACAATGATAAATGAAAATGATGTGAAGTATATTAATAAAAAAAACAAGTAGGTGATGCTCAAATTAGTAGTGGCCAAAGTGGAAATACCAATATAAAACAAAAACAGGCCAAAAACAGTAATCTAATTGTTTGACGTGTTGGAATCAAATCATATTTAATATGAACAACATGGTTCATCAAATGGGAAAATTCTACCAAAAAACAATTTTAACACGAGTATGCGTTCTCGAGGTTTAATGATTTTTCTTGAAACTAGAAAGATGCTGAGCGAGTAGCATAATGTATCTAAAAGCCATCAAATTGTTTTATCAACATTAAAGGGATATGTTCTACATCCAAGTGATGAGGCAATCTTCCTCTCTTGTTCCCAAATTAACGTTGACGATGTATCTGGCTAAATGTGAGCATGGATGTTGACAGTTTGCCATTCAAAATATTCATTTAGTGTGCAATTCAATTGCCCCACATGAGAACGTTCCCCGTGTGTTTCAATCCTGTTAGAGCCATCATCATTTGCATCTCCCAATTAGAAGAAAAATCATCTAAATCAAGAATGAGTAGTTACATTAAAATTAAGCATACTGTCATTTTCTGGTGAAATTCTCTCCCGTTTGACACATTACGCGCCCTCTTTCTCATTTAAGTACTCGGAGTTGAATTTGAGACGGCTGTCACATCGACAACTTGGCCTAATGGGTTCTCCCTCTCGTATCCTACATTGGGACGTTGAATTACTGTTCCAACCAATTTGTTTTAAACAGACATTTCCATTGCCTTGTAGGACTGAATTTTTTTTTTGATAATTCAAATTTTCCTGGTAGAAATCTGTTTCTACTCAAATATTTTGCATTGGTTCATATGGCCAACATAGCTTTATTACATTAGATAAATTGAGATATATATATATATATTTAGTTTCTTATATAAAATATCAGTTAATATAATTTCAAAATGGTCTCAGGAAAGAAAAACAAAGTAATAAATATAAATAATAATAATAATTTAATTGAATAATAAATATTATGGAAAATTTAAAGTTTTATTTTAAAATGTTTTCAATTCGACATACTTCATTCATTACTTTGAAACTAGACGTAGATAAATCTTCATTCCGAACTTTTTGGCACAATTCACAAAAACTTCTATATATACATGTATCTAAACTCGGAAAAACTTTATGTTAATAATAGTAATAATAAAAATTCATAAAACAATGGTATAAAAATATACCTGTGTGTTTACAGATCGACATTACTGATTTTAACGGTAAAATCCATTGCATCAGTTTTAAAACGAGATATGATGACAGCAGACCACATTTTCCGCTAATTAATGACTTCATATTGACATATTGTAGATAAGTGTCGAATCTAATTATAAAAAAAAAGTTTTTTTAATGTAAGTGTGGCAGAAAATTATGATTATAACAAATTGTTATCATTTAAGTATTGTAAAAACAAAACTTAATCTCAAATATCTCAAGCTCTATGACACTGCAATGCTTTAAAGTCATTTATGTGTTTCTCAAAATTGTTATTATTTGTTTTAATCATTTTTCTGCATGCATTTGGATGATATGTTTTGGTTTTGATTAAATTAGCCCAAATATGAGTTATCTTCAAATTATCAGGTCAGTCCATAAGTTTGTGCCTATTTTATGGTCTTGAGAAAAATCTTGTTTTGCTGCTAAAAATGCCAGTCTAATGTGATGCTTTTTACACTGAAGTGTTAAATTGGATCTCATTCATATAATACTGTTCAGAATTGGGAACATTTCAGTTGTTTATTTTCGTTAAAATGGAAGTAACAGATGAATATAAGAGTCGTGTTTTATACTTTTTATTTTTAAGCGATGAGAATGCTACAAATGCAGCCAAAAAATTAAATACTGTTCATAATCAAACTGTAATTAGTGTAAGGACTGCGCAGAAGTGGTTTGAAAGATTTAGAAATAATGATTTTAGTGTGGAGGATAAGGCTCGTACTGGAAGAC